GGTGTTTGCATTCCAGTAGTTTCACACCAGAAAAAGACTATAACATGCTTCTAAAGCACTATCAGACACCTATCTGGTTCCCTTCATTATGACTCCTAAATTCTCTTGGCTAAAGAAACTTACTATGAAATGGCTGAACCTGGTGAGAACTCACCCACCTTCCTTATCAGGAAGGAAACCTGCAGCACAAATCTGAACTCCAGAAGAGACTCCAGCAGGCAGCATGGTGTTAAGTGGTGCAACAGAGCCCAAGAGACCAAGTTTCAGACTAACTGCCCAAGGAATGTCTTAAGCTACCTCACCGACAACAGCAGAATAAGCATTCCTCATGGAGCCTGTAGAGAAGCTTTAAACAAAGAAACCCCTAAGGATTAGATTCAGGCAAGCGTTGTACAAGTGAGGCCTGAGGATGCTCTGACATGAAACCCCCTCTTATGGAAGCTCTTCTGCTCATGTAAATCACCCAAGACAGAAGGAAAAAGCAGGTGAGCAGCAACTCACCTCACACACTGCCTGGCACCTCCTGTGCCCCAGCTAACACCTGCTTGTAGACACAGGACAGAACCCAAGTCCTCCTGAAACAAGAATGCTGCAAAGTGAATCCAAGCCCCTGCATGCTGGTGGTCTCCTACCAGTGCACAATGCCCAGCCCAAGGCAGGCTCAGATTTACCCCCCAGGTTTTTCAACTGCAACGTCCAAGCCCCACTGGTTGGACTTTCAACCCATCTTACTCCACTGCAAGGCTGAGACATGGTCACTTCTTTGAGCTTGAACAGAACAACTCTCTAGCAGAGCTGGGCATCAATGGTATTAGGATGCCTGCTTCATGGTGTGTCATGCAGCATCTCAACTGCAGAATTACCCTACAGGTTGTGCAAGGCCCTGCCAGGACTCATCTGTCTTTTTAGGAAGAAAATTCACTGGTAAACACCACTGTTGTGTGTTAGTCTTTGCTAACTTCAAGCCCTGAAATACAGCAGGATGGCACCTTCCCACACAGCCTTATGTTTATCTTTTAAGTGACGACCCAAATAAAGAGCTGCAGGCACTCGCTCTGCTTCTGCACATCAGCACCTGTGGGCATATGCAGAGAGCATAACAAAAGAGATGTGCTCAGATTTGAATTCCCTATCCTCCCACTCACACACATGCCAAGGAAGATACTTTATTTGGAAACACCTGGACAACAGCTCAAAAGAAAACAGAGTTGGAAAAGTTCTGTTTGGAGTGACTTTACAGCTCCAGTGAAACCTTGAGTTAATGCTTCATGCCACTTGAAGTCTAGAGAGGCACAAGAATCCACAGACCAATGCCTACGAGAAGGTATTTACCATAATAAACTGTTTGAAGAGCCTCTACTGAATTGAGACACTTAAAGAAAGCATCTCTGAGGACAACATTCACCATAAGACTGCCCTTATAGCATGTGGTGGGAGGAAACATCAAGCAAGTGATCAGCAAGTTTTTATCATGGCAGCCATACAACAAAACAGAAACCTATTGTCTGAAGAAAAAGCCTGTAATGAAACCACTCTCAAGACCCTGGTATTTTCACTTTGTGGAGCAGATACCATTAACAACTTCTTAGTGTATGCTTCCTTTGAATAAAAGAAAGTCTGTCTTAACATTGACATCCAAGTATGCTAAGATCATGATTGAGGATGTCTTCTGCAGACACATCTGTATTTGATATGAGCATCTCTTGAAACTGAGAAGTAGGAAACTTCAGTGGGTTTCAGATGCCAACACAAGGTTAAGAAGTGAACAGAAGCACAGAACAATCCCAGGTCACATCATACAGCACATGAGATACTTCAGACACAAGCATCAAAAAGGAACAACGTGGAAGCAAATAGGAGCTGCACCCACAGCTGCCAGCATGAAAACAAGGGATGTGACAGCCCCCCTCAAAGGTCTGTGGTTATCTCCTGTCCCCTACCAGCGGCCACCTCCACTGAGAGCCAGCATAGACCACACGTTCTCCTCTGTCATAAGGACGGAGGTATCGCAGTGCAGCTGGAGCCATGGCCCTTCCCTTTCACCTGCATCCATACTAGTCTCCCATAAGCGTGGAAGGAAGTGGGGCACAGATAGCAACACTTTTACATCCCAGTAAGATTTGCCAGACCCCAAGAACTGTTAAAGAACCTTAAAGAAAAAGCAGGATCTGGATGCACTGAATTCCAGGGCACTGTATGTATTTGTTCAGGACCTACTTCCTGGGAAGATACAGAGTAACATGGGTACTACACCTAGAAATACCAAAATGCAAGTCAAATCCATTTATCTCTGCAAGAACAGTCACAGCTGACCAGTTCAAACAGCTCTGGTAAAGATGCCAGCACAGATCTGAGAAATGCAGGTTTATCTCAGTAATAAATCTCAGCACAAAGCAGCACAATGACTGACGTGTTCAGGGCAGATGTCAGGCGTTCCAAGATGCGACAAAGGCAACCCAGGTACAGCCAGTGTGATTGATACTTATTGATCAAGTGAGATAAAGCAGCAATCAAGGGAGAGCAATCAGAGCCAGCCCACAGCAGAGAGTGAACAGATACCTTTGAAACCATGTCACTGTGCCATCGATGAGTTCTTCTTTCCAACCAGTCAACAGATTTATTAAACGCTTGGGAAATGGCCTTCTAAAGTCAGATAAACGGGTTCAGCCTGTTCTCCAAAAACACGCATTTGCTGGTCTGTAGGAAACCAGCCTGGCACCGCAGTCACTGCCAGAGACTGATTCAGCCCCAGTCAAGGACTAGATTATGAGGGGAAGACGCAGGTAAAGGCGCTGGCAGCGCGGTACGGCATTGCTGGAGGTGAAACAGAACGGGCGCTATGCAGGAGGAGCCGCTGTGAGGAACCACGCCTCAGTGTGTGTGATGGGAGGGCTCATTCGTAACACGCTCTTCGCTGGCACGTGAGCTCGATAGTGAGCTGACATGATACCGCTTAAAACCAGGACTGGAGTCTGCCGCGAGGAGGGAATACAAATAACGCCACTCCCCCCTGCAACCCCTCAGGACTCAAGGCACCCCCAGCCCCCGGGACCCTGCCCCGCCTGGGGGAAGAGAAGCGCTCCGGAACGGGGCTCTCCCTGCCGAGACCGCAGAACGGCCGCGGGCAGGGCCGGGCCCGCGGGACGAGCCCGGGGCGCTGTGAGGGGGAGCGGAGCGGCGAGGAGGGGAAGGCGCCGCCTTCCCCCGGCCGCGGCGGGGCCGCTCCGCAGCACAGTGGAGCACAGTGAGGAGCAGCCCCGCCGCCCGCGCGTCCCCCGACACCGCCCGCCAGGCCGCGGCCCCGCCGCAGGTGCCGCCTCACAAGGAAAGGGCCCGGCTGCCGGAGCGCGGCTCCCACTCCTCCTCCCACCCCCGCCGGCGCTCGGAGCGGCCCGGCCGGCGGAGCCGCCGCTCACCACGAAGACCGCCTCGGGGATGCCGAGGGGGCCGCGCTTCCCGCCCGCCGCCGCCTCGCCGCACCCAGTCTCGTTACTGGTGGCCGCCGCCATCTTGGGAACCGACAGTGCGTGCGCGGCCGTCCCTGGGACGCCAGGCCTACGTCACACGCCGGAGCCGAGCGCGATCCCATCCATTGGCTGACAGGCTGTGTGTGACGCCGTGACGCCAGAGCGCGCGGTAGGCGGAGCGGCGGCCGTCCCAAAGCGCCGCCTGTCGGTGGGGTGGGGTTAGGGCAGCCCCTGCCGCCGGGCCGGGACGCTGCTGTCCCACTGCCCCTCGGCCGCTCCTGCAGCGGTGGAGGAGCCGGGTCCCCGCCGTGGGGCAGCTCCGTGCCGGTGTGACACTGCGGGAGCCGCCCGTTAAACAGCTCCAGCTCCTGCCTGGAGACAAAGCGCTGCTGCAGGGGAAGGGGCAAGAAAGCAGCGACTGGAAGTACTCATTTCTAACGCAGGAATGCGGCTCGGGAGCAGCGCGACACCGGCGGGACCCCGCCTGTACAGAACGGCTGAGGGAGCCAGCAGCGTCTGACGTTTGGGGGGGGGCTTGTCCGCTTCGGGGCTCCTCAGGAGGGAGCCCGCGGTCACCCGTGACACAAACGGCTTCACCCCGCGCAGGTAAAACGCACCACGGCTTCCCGAAGGAACCAGGCACCCGGTCACGTTAAACTGCCCCAGAACCCGACACCCCTCACACCTCAGTAACGCAAAGGCAGCGCAGCAATACCTCCGCCGCAGAACGCCCTAACCCGACGCTTCCGAAGCCCCGCATGCACCCGAGGCACCGCTGGCACACCCGAGGCACCGCTCGCACCCGAAGCCCCGCATGCACCCGAGGCACCGCTCGCACCCGAAGCACCGCACGCACACACCCGCTCTGCATGTGCCAAAGTTTATTTTTTTTCCAAAACTTGTTTCCTCAAATAACGGGATCTGAGCGGTCTTTAGAAAACGAACAGTTCGTGTATTAACAAATTGAGAACCCCCCAGTTAAAACACCCACACAGCCAGGCTTGTGCTTCAGCGTCTGTGTTAAAAAAGTGAATTCACAGAACGTAAACCCCCAAAATGGTTTCCAGTTTGTGGCGAGTGCGTTTCCCACACATTCTGTATTCTTATAAAATGAAGGAACCCATGTAAGGAAACGGCTGTACAAGAATGGATTGGAAAAAAGCCCAAACAACCTAAATTAGAGTAGCTCCTTTTAAATAAATAGCCAATAAAAGGCACAAACCTGTTATGGGGAAAAACATAACGTACAAAACGAGACCTATTAAATAAATAATGGAAAGTGGGGGTTGGGGTGAGGGAAATCTGTTCCAGCACCTATTTTGTCATTGCTCCAAGACGGAATTTCCAGCCAAACATTTGGTGAAGGATTCAACTTAATCACAAGGATACACGCTTGAGATACACCGAAAGAGCCCACGTTACAATTCCTGTTGTAACTGTACCAGTTACTACAATCTCTTTAAATAAATGGTCATGAGGATCTGCATAACGTAGCGATGCGGTAATGTATATAGATCAATGACAAGATACATCTTCAGAGTAATAGCAAGAGGTTTTCTATACTCCTAGCTATCAGTAATGTATAAATGATAACATGTACAGTTTCCATTGCTCAAAAATATAATCTTTTAAATGGAAATAAATGACTGATACACAGTGCCTTTAGATGTTTTCCTTACGATACAAACTACCCCAAACAAAGTTTTGTTTTTTATGTACAAATTAAGCACCGATCCACAGTGCGTACTACTCTAATTGTAACCCCCCCCCTCCCTGCCACACATCAAAAACCCAGATGTGGATACACCCTGTATTCAGTCTCGGAGTACGAAGGTTTTCTGTTGGTTTCTGTGTGGTTTTTTCCTTAAACAAAAGTCCATGTGTTATTTTCACCTATGAGTGTTCCACCGCCATGTGCACAGAACTGAGGTTGCTCTAGTACAGGAGTCCAATGTTTAAAAAAATTCAGTAACTTCTTGGAGGCAAAGTCAAACTATTCCTAGAGAACATTAGAAAACCCCAGTTACTTAAAAAGAGGTACACGTTCCAGTCCGACACACAATCAACCTCTCCAGGTTCCCCCAGAAGTTATGGTATATCCCACACAACAGCCTCCCTGTAGCAGCAGCAAGTCCCAACAGTCAGGCTTGAATGACCCTCTGAAGTACAATAACGCAAAGCACAGCATACTTCACAAGTCGTCCTCCTTATTCAGACAAACCCAGAGCAACATCTTAAGCCAACTACCTGCTCTCTGAAGCATTCAGAACAGGATTCTGATCAAACCAGCTCGAAGGAAACAAAAGGGAAAGTCACATTTATGTACATCTCTCTTCAGTGTTTTACTCATCACTATTCACAACTGCTGCGGAACGACCTTTGTCTTCAAAGTGGTTTGGTTTTTTTTGGAGAACAAGATCTGAGCCATAAAAGCCTCAACAGCATCCCAAGTCCTTGGGTTTTACTTCTAATGCATGGATTAGATGATTTACAAACACAGCACTCTGCCATTTCATGTGTTCCAATACGTGCACAAGGAAGAGGTTGGCAAAAGCAGTCCTGTGCATGTCTCTGCAGAGCGAAGCGTCTCAGTATTTTCTTCATAAGGATAAACCTGAACGCCGTGGTTTAATGTATCAAACATTCTAAATGAGACTAAAAAGAAGGTAGCTCACAAAGTTTCTAGGATGTACTTGGTGGCTGTTTCTCCTTTTATAATACTACATAAATTGGTATCAGACAGCTTTGCTACAAGAAAGCATACCAAAGAACCATTAAAAAAAATCCAGAGCAAATCAGAAATGGTGCAACTACACCTAGGACTAAATCTGAGCCATGTACATTCCAGATGGTCAGAAAGCTCTGCAATAAAGTTCTGTTTGCCAGGCATTTATTTGCATATTTCATTAAAATCATGGATTACTACTTACACAGCTCAGTATGAGAGACCCAACAGCTCACAGCGCGAGGAACTGCCTGCTGGTAGCACTCTCAGCTCTGCCAGTAATGCCCAGACATTGATTACTGCATGTACTGCTCTAATTTGAACTCGAGACCTTTCAATGATGAATAAATCAATGGAATTCACTAATTCTTAAACAAACACAACACAACGACCCACTCTAAATGGCATCTCCTCCCTCATCACGTGGAGGGTAACTATAGGCACTGAAGAACTCATTGGCTTAAAATTGTACAACTGTTCAACCCAATAGAGGTGGATTAAAGCTTGAAGCCCTTTGTAATTCAAACTTGAACATCAAATTGCTACACACCAGTCCAAATTCTTAAAATAAAACCAAAATCAAAGCACATTCAGGAACTCCTTGGTTTAAATCTCTGCAGGGTTACATGTCCCTGGAAGTCAGTGGTTACAGATTCCAAGGGCTGGGGGATGGTTTTTTGTTTTGTCACTTTTGAGTTGTTTCACTTGGCAAAAATATTTCCATAGGGTTAAAAATACTATTTTTGCACTCTTTAGACAGAATTATGCATTTAGGAAGCAGGAATATGAGCAAAATGTGGTATTTTAGAAGTTCTCTGCAGGACAGTTTGACAAAATCCTCAGGCCTATCATAGTGAGAGTCAGAGATAGTTCTGCAATTATAGACTCCCCAGAGCTAAAAGACATGCTGCTTTGGAGGTCTATTTATTGCAACAATAGAAAACTATTATTTTATTTAAAAACTCAGCTTTAATATTAATCATGAGTAGAAGTCATTTTACAGGAGAGCTTTTCACTGAACTCTGCCGCAAAACTTCTGGAAGAAAGGTTGCTCCCAACTCCATTTACTTGATTAACAATTTTTTTCAGTTGTTTTAAAGGTATCACTTTTTATCAGACACTGGAAATAAAAGATAAGGCATTTCCACAGCCAACTGCAGTTCTGGAGGAAGATTGGTAAATACAAAAGACATGCCACAAGTCTGTACGCATCATGAATAGCGTACTTCATAAATTACTTGATTTAAAAGATTTTCCTCTCAAAGAGAGTCTGGATTTCTTAACATAGCATTTTAACCTTGAAATTACTACAGAAGAAAAAGATTACTGCAGCATTAAAGAAAAGATTATCTAAAAGTTTGCACATATTTACATGTTTAAAAATAATTACTTTTATATGATTTACAACTAGGTTCTTATTTCAGAAAAGCAGCACAAGCTATTCCCTACAGCCAGGTAATTTCCATAGAGGTGCCAGGTCACAAATGGCCGCACTATTGCAAGGTTTGCTTCTTTTGACCAAACGGACTTTGTAGAAAAAGTTGGATCTCTTGCCTCTTCTGCACTTAAGATTTTCAAATTGCTCCCACCTGCTGCTCCCGGGGACCTGGCATTCACTGGCTCCCAAAGTTACTCTTCTTGAGCTATGAAAGACACTATCTGCAGAGAAGATACTCGATGGAAACGCAGCTACTGCCACTGGTCAGAGGCTGCATGTGCCGTTCTGTAACACACTTGTTTCCCCTGCTCCATTACAGGCTTTCAGCCCACCACATACCAGTGGAGCAATCTATTATTTTTAATATATATATGTAATGTAATATGTATATATCTTGTTGATTCACAGCATTTCAAACTCACATTATAAAGTTCGCAAATTACTATAAGCTATCCTAATGTGAAAAAGCTGTCTGATTTCACACAATATTGGCCTTATGATAATGCAAGCATTACTCTATCAGAGTATTCATTAGAGCACATAAAAATTTTATTGCTCGACTTCATTTGTGTTGTGTCTTGGTTACAACAGCCACAGAATTTGTATGGAGAAAATAAATAGCTTTGATATCCTCTGTTAACTTCCTATGGTAATCCACTGATGAGTAAGGTTGCAGAGCAATCATGATACCCCTCCATCTCAGCTCTGAAGATGATAATCCAGCTTGAACCTTCTGAGTCAACCTCAATAAAATACAGTTTTCTGCTGAGCAGTTTGAAGGAAGAAAAAAAGATCCGTGAACAAACATTCACACTGCAGTGACTGTTATAAACAAGAACCTTGAAAGCATTGAAATTCAAACTAATATTGTATTATACAGGGAAGAAACAGTTGCCCTGTTCAGGAATACATCATGGAAAGATCAAAATTCAGTCTTGTCTTTTTTGTGTTTTTTTTTTTTTTTTACCAGTATTTGGTTGTTCTCACATCTTGCTGCTTTGGCGGCTCTACATAAATTGTATCTGTGAAGCAGAGATTACATATTAGTCACATCACACATGGCTCCCCAGTGGTTTAATTATGATCTATTCAACTGCCTTCTTGCAAGGTTTGACTTTAAAAAATCCCCAAAGAACATGAAGATGAACATATTTGGAGTACACAGTTTCTTCAGCTTGAATCATCTTGTCCGTGCCTTTTTCACTTCCTTTCCTTCGGGAAGCTGTCACCACCTCTCTAGTCAGCATGACTAAACCAAGCATCCAGCTTATATCACAGGAAATCTAAATTCTATGTATCTTCACCACTCCCATTTTCTTAATACTGACACAGTGAGGAGTTAGCCACTAAATCTGATTTTTACTTTCTTCCTGCATTTACATGCTCTCACTATCTGAATTGGCTTCCTCGCCAGCAAAAGCTGTTGCCCTTGACAGAGGAGCCCCCACTTTCAAATGAAGAAATACATTAGTAGCCCTTCATGAAGCATTTGCTTGGTTTTACCAAGACTGAAGTTTCAATGTGATGTCAAGATTAAGGAAAGCACTTCACCTGAGTTTCAGAAACAGGTGCAAAAGGGTTTGTTGGCCTTAGACCAGGCTGTGTATACATCATTGTCTGGGGTGCCATCAAAGGAGCAGCTCCAACCTGAGGAGGTACCTGTTAGAAAAAAAGCAAACCCCCCACAAAACAGATATATAAAATTCAAACTAATTCTAGTAGATCTTTTTGCTTTGTGAGTAGTAGAAAACAAGCATGTAAACACACACACGTAGTAAAGTCAGAGCTTTTTAAAACCACGCTGTACAGCACTTGGAGCAATCTTTTCCAAAGCACAGTGTGACAAAGCCATCAGGTTTCACACACTATCGATCTTTTGAAACAATACATATAAGTTACAGAATGATTTCACTATAATAATGCCAACCATGAAACCCACTGGAGGAGACAACTCGGTTTTTCAGGAATACAAAGACAATCCCATTTCTTACCATTCCGTATACAGGCACTTGAGGCGTGGTCAGTGGGTACGTGATAGGAGCAGGTACCTTCAATCAAGAAAATCTTCATGTTAGATAAGCTCGTGCATGCTGGTAATAGATACAAAACTGTAAAAAACATCTATTTTTCAATACTTAAAATAACCAATGTATTTACAAGAAATTGACTTACATATCCAGGATAGTGTACTCCATTCTGGCACAGCAAAAGGAGTAAGGACAGAAAATTATTTAAGAGGTATTTGAACTGGAAATTCTAACCATGGGGTGGATTCAAGGCCAGAACTGTCTCTAACTATGCTCAACTCATTTATGAAAACAAAGCAGGAGGAAAAAAGTGCAAGGACAGTAACATCAGTAACTAAGCCTGTTAACTTGGACAGGCTCTCTGCCTAGAAAACTATCACTAGTAAGACTAGAATGTTTACAAGATCCAGCCACATTTGAGGATATTGCTTGCACAGACATTTGTGTGAGAAGCTTTTGGAGGGCATGGAATACTCCTTCTGCCTCCCTTTATGCGAGAGAAAGGCAGAGGAATAAGGAAGCCAGTGACCATTCAGCTTGAGAAACAAATAGTCAGGTCAATGTTGCTGACATACTGGTTTCTGATGTCTGCAACATATCACAATATGAAAAAAGAAAAATGAAGAGCATCTTAAGCTGATAATAGCTTGGAACAGGCTATGCTCACAGGCATAGTGATGCATGCACTTCATATTGCCATGCAGTGTTAAGTAGTGCTCACTGTATTAAAAAAGAAGTGCTAGTTCAAATGCTTCTCTACGAAAGAGTATGGAGACTAAACATGAATTGAAGGGTTGGTGCTCTGAATACCACAGACCAAGCTAGGGCAGTTAGAATCAGTGTCCCAGTATTGGAAAGATGCTCATAGCTGAGCTATTAAACATGAACACATGAAATAAAAACACAAAACCCAAATCCACAGTGATCCATGTATGCTCAGGTATCCTTTAGCCTCCAAAAATAAAAACACATCAGTGTTCTAACAGGTTTGAGAGCTCCAAGTGGGGATAAAAAGGTTTTATGGTCTCACAAGTTTCACCTAAGTGCTATACAACTCAGACATCCTCCATCTGAATTCTGACTTTTGTTTAAAACCAATACTGGATTTGAGATTCTATTCAACTCTGATAATTCTGAATGAGCATACTCATGTAAGATGAGGAAAATAAGCACTACAAGCAAAGCTACTATTATTGGAAAATAAAAGTCAGACAAAGAGCAGTCCACAACTCATGTAGTAATTGCCCTAGCTGTCCCTCTAAGGCAGCTGTATTTCAGAAGGGGTTTGTATTTGTATGAATACTTGAACAAAATTCTTTTAAAAGAACAGGGAAAGTCAGTTGCTACAAATATCTCTCCAAGGAATAAAAATTCTTCATTTAAATAACTATAAGCTTCCACTTAGTATTTTGTACTGTGTTAAAAATAGGAAGTTGCTGCTGAGCACTACCGAAAGGCCGAAGTGCTGCTTGACCTGATAATTAAAGGTTGCAGAAGTGTTTCATGTGATAAAATTGAAAAAGGAATGAAAAATGGAAGGAACAGCAGTTTTGCCCTTGAAATACATTTTTAGATCTCTTTAAGGTGCATGTGTGTGTGGCAGGGAGGGGAGGGAGGATGGGAGCATCTCAAACATGCATGTGAGAAATTTTCTGGTTTGAGGTCATTTGTTTCAATTCCAAAAGAATTTATGAACTGAGATACATCTCAAGTGAAAGGCTGATTATTCAGGTCTTTAACAGACAAGTTCTACATTGAGTGGAAATATAATATACTAAAATCTCTACCTTATTCAGTTTAAGAAGCAATCCTACAAGCATTCCCCACGGCCCCCACTCTTGTCCCAGGCAACCTTTGCTATACTTTTAAAGTTAATACAAGTAGGGAAGTAGCATTTGCTAGAACAAAGTGTGATTTCAATAATAGAGGAGTTACCATATGTGGAATAGAGGGTAAGGGAGTAGGGCTCCATGTGGTCAATGTGTTTGTTTTTGCTTGCCAGTTCGTTCCACCAGTAAGTTTTTTCTCTGTAGGCTGGGTCCACTGCATATCCGATCTACAATGAAACTGTGCTATTAGTTCTCAAAGTCAACAACTAGAGTAACAACAACATAATGGAAAACCAAAGCATGCCTTAATACAGGTACACAGCTGAAATCTACAGGTAGAGGAAACACTGAGGATTTCAGTAACTACTCACGGTTCAAGTATGATGTCTGAGGGTTCTGATTTACGTTAAAAGTAAACTATCATTACTGCACTGTACAGCATAATTAGAGTTTTATGTAACTGCAAGATCTTCTATGGTGCTTCATAAAATACTTACATAAAAACACAGTAAGTGCAAAACTAAATTCATTGAACTGCTTCCAAGTTAAGGTTGACCATTTTGGAGTAACTGACCACGAACTCACTGTTTCATTGCTGGTTTTGGTACCAGATTACTTTCAAGAGTTGAGACTCTTGCCATGTTAGTGCTGGTAAACTGCCAGAGACTATCAAATACTCATGTGAGAACATTATAAGTACATGTATGCACTTACTTTTTGGGCGGAGTTCCTCCAAAGCCAAGATCTAGGGGGAGAGGGAAGGGAGAAGAGAAACAGACAAAATCCTTAAGTTTTGGGTTGTTTTTTTTTGGGTGGGGGGGAGCTTGTTTTGTTTTCAGTAACAAATGGGAAAGTTAAGATTTAAAAGCTTCATACTTACTTCCCACTAGATTAGCAAGTGAAGAATCGAGGTCGTTTGCCAGAATTTTTCCATTTTGCTGGCTGGCTAAAGGGGCTCTTTGATTCTGTGGTGGTCCTGTGGGTTGCAATACATCATCTAGAAGGGTAAAACCTAAAGGAAGAACAAAAAAAGCAACTGTTAACCAAAGTTCCATTGCATTTCACAAAATACATCCATAAGCCATCCATTATGGCATCCATAAGCCATACATCCATTCCATCCATAAGGGAGGTATTTTCTTTATAGAACACAAAGTAGTTTGACTATTTACAAGTGGAGGTTCAACCTGCTGAAAGTGTTTAACACTTGGACTGAAGCATAAATTAACCTCTGGGTTTTTTTGTACAATCCTATACTGTAGCCACTAATCATTAGAATCTTTAATTTTCTTCATCAGTAACATGTTATTTTTAAATTCAGATGAATGTTCTCAAACTGAAGAAGGGAGGTTGTTAAAGACAGTTTCTAAAATAGTCTTGTAAAAATAAATCAGCAATTTCATGATACTGCTAGTATCCTGAATGTACGCAAGAGTTCCTTTGCTGTATGTTCATAAGGACTTTGAATACATAGTAAAATACCAACAACCAAGAGAAAGATCATAATTCAGCTATTCTTCAAGCAGCACATTTTTATATATACATTTATAAATACATTCTACATAAAGTACAATGCATTTCAATGAAGTTAGAGGAAACTCATTATCATGTATCAAAAGAAAACACTGAAGTCATAGGCACTGAAAACAGACTAACATAAACTTACCAGTTAAAAGATATCCAGAGGGCCACATTCAAAGTTCATTCCCCAAAAGAGGAGAAGAAACAGTTATTATTACAGTATACGCGATTACGCAAAGCTAATTTTAACTTGACAATCAGCTCAATTGTAATTATCTATCAGCTCTATAATCAGCTTGCAAATGTACTATGCTCTTAAAGTTGGAGCCAGTCCAGAGGAGGCCACGAAGATGCTCAGAGGGTTGTAGCACCTCTCCTATGAAGAGAGGCTGAGAGAGCTGGCCTTGTTCAGCCTGGAGAAGGCTCTGAGGAGACCTCAGAGCAGGTTCCAGTGCCTAAAGGGGCCGACAAGAAAGCTGGGGAGGGGCTTTGAACAAGGGCCTGTAGTGACAGGACAAGGGGGAATGGCTTAACCTGACAGAGGGGAGATTTAGATTAGGAAGGTGCTGGCACAGGTTGCCCAGGAAAGCTGTGGCTGCCCCATCCCTGGCAGTGTTCAAGGCCAGGTTGGACAGGGCTTGGAGCAACCTGCTCTAGTGGAAGGTGTCCCTGTCTATGGCAGAGGGCTGGAACTGGATGAGCTTTAAGGTCTCTTCCAACCCAAACCAGTCTGTGATTCTAAATTTAAACTGCAATAGCAATTATGTTAAACTGTTAAGCAAGTGTTGCCTGGAGGGTATAAATTAGTCATGAGCTGGTTGTTACCATTTGTAGTCCTGCACTCTGGTGCTGTAGATTTTCCTCCAAAAACAGCATCAAAGTCCACGTTAATTGTTGGAGGAGCTGAATGAAGAGGAAAACCTGGAAAAAAATGGTTAGAGTATTCAAATACAGCCATGGAGTAATGCCACTCATCACAGTCAAACTAGAAAGTTAAAAAATATTAAATTACCATCAACAGTCAGAGGATGACACACAGAAGCATATGTAGGTGTTTGACCACTAAAGTCATCTTTGTAAAAAGAGAGAAGAAAATCAGATCAGTTTGAAAGAGAAAAAGAAAGAAGAGAATCAAAAATTAAGTCTTTGTTTTAGAGTTTTTAGTGATAAATGAGGATTTTTTTTTATTGAACAAATTTGAAAAGCTCAAGCGGCTCCTGCATTCCCCATTACAAAACAGCAAAAAGGTTGCAGTTTGAAAGGAAGCAGCAAAAATTCCAGCAACATTACAAGTCTTAGGGTATCTATGCTGGGCAAGCTGAACACGATAAGGAGTTGTTTCAACTATAGAAATAAATTTTTAAAGAAACATATCTTTTGCTACGTCTGGAATTACTGCACCATTTTCACTTTTTAATAAAAGTGAAGATAGGTCCAAAGCACAAAAAGATTACAGGGCCCAGTTTTTTAGCATAATCATCACCAGTTGCAAAGAAATGAGTTTTGTTTGGTTAGGTTTTTACCACTAAACAGTTCCACCGTTTGTTTGGAGGAAAAAGCAGAATTGATGAAAGGGGTGGCAGATTTTACAGCTTCTTCAACTGGCTTCATGTCAAAGATGTCCAGATGAGGTGGAGAACCAACACAACCATTTGAGGACGAGAAAGGACCTTTCAGGTGCGGAAGTGAAGGAAAGAATACAGAGTACAAATAATGGAAAAGGAAACCAGACTGAAATGATTGAATATGAGAATCTCTAGACAAAGTCAAATCCTAAACATTCCACCTAGTGATCTGCCCATTAAAAGATTCAAATTCTTAGTTTCAGATTAAAAAAAAAACCAAACAGCTCTATTTAGGGAAAATAGTTGTAGTATTGACATCGGGTGGGAGAGGAAGAATGACACAACATTCACCAACTAAAAAAGCTAGCAACTACATTTCTGGCTTCAAGAATCTACCTTTTAAATAGCACATAAAGGTAATCAATTCTACCTATTAAAATACCAATGCTTACAATAGTGTTAACATTGTCTTATTTCAGCATTTAACACATTTCTTTGACATCTATCCTCATTATACATTGGAAGGATTGGTGAGAGTACAGAGAACTTTGTGTACAAGAAGCTGAAAAGAACAGCTATGTTGTAAGAACTCTGAAGTCACCAACATCTTTTAAATGAAAAGTATATTAAATATCACTTAATGGAATGGGAATACTAGTCCAGCATCTTTTCAGTTACATCTGGTTAGTTTGTATTTCCCAGCATCTTTACACTTTAATTTTTTAGTTACATTTCTTCTATCTGTTCCCTTTTATTAAATATCTCCATTTTATCTACTGCAAATTGACACTACTGCTATGTGTTAAAAAAGGTAACTTTTCTGTAACAGTTCACCAGAGCTTTCAGGTGACTTATATTTGGTCAAGGACAGAAATGTTTGGATGCAAAGTAATTAAGGTTTAAGATGCACATTCAACTAAATATGAATTTGTATTTTATTCTTGTATTCCAAGAATTCACCTACTGCTTAGTCAAATCATGGTATCAGCTCACCTCCCCAAGCACTGCTTGGTGATGTGGGTATAACTGGAGTACTCTGCACAGCTGGAACAAATGCAGGCTGAAGATCAAAAAGGTCACTAGAAAGATTGGGCATGCTGAATAAGAAGAGAGAGGGAAACATTAAGATGTGTAGTAGGCACTGTATTCCTGTGTTGTACGAACATTCACACCCATCTGACTTTCTCTTATTTACTAACAGCCCACCAATAATAGTAATACAAAACAAAACTAGTAATTAAGTACTTATTATTGGCTGTAACCAAAATTTCTGGGAATACACTAGGAAAGCATCAGCAAAAGGTTATTCTGGAGAAGCACTTGAGAAGCTGCAATTGCTTTGCAGCTGACTGTGGAGCTACAGGCCAGTGCAGTAATTTCTGCTGGCTTCAGAAAGCCAAGTATCTCTCACCTATTTGTTGTGGGTGCTGGTACTGAAAAGAGGTCAACAGCTACAGTGGTATTCACACTTTTTTCTGATAAGGTGCTTGGGGATGCTGATCTGGAAACGGAATTCGATACTACAGAAATCTCTCTTAATCGCTGCTCCTGAAAGATGAGATACACAGTTTGTATTTTTGTCAGGAAAGAATCTTCAATAGATCTCTATAATTCCAGAGACAAACCAACTCTGCATTACCATTAAACTTTGCTTTCACACTCCAAATAGTTTTAAGATGCGACCTCCAGATGACATGAGCAGAGTTGCTTTATTGTTAAGGCATGTGTAGAGATGTTAAAGCAACGCAAGAAAAATTTCCAACTGCCCCACTTGTATATGCCTGGGACACAACAGAATTACAGACTTAGCTTTCACCAAGAGAAGCATTTTGCCATGACTGAGATTTTATAGTGAGTATGTTCTCAGGAAACAGTATTATAAATGGGTTAAAGGGACCTAAGGACCAGGATTCAGGCCTTAGTAGAGAGGTATTATCAAGAGGACTACTCAACAAGTACCAACAAGCAAACAAAAGCACATCAAGGAACCAAGAGAGAATACAATCCAAATGTTACATGTTACCACACTTCAAATATGTTATTATTCAAAGTCCATGAATTATACCTGAACGAGTTCAAACTGCTTTTCAAAGTAAACTATAGAATTATAAATAAGAGCAGTTAAATGTGGGCAGAACTATAGCATATCCCCTCATTGTGAGCAACATGACTGAAGAATCACACTAAAGTCATATTCCATACGTCATGGGGAAAAGTAACTCCCTCCTACCAATAATCAGTCTTACGACAGCAATGCTGTATGTTCAGCTGCTAAGATGTAACCTAGAATTGTACTCTCATTTTGTGAATCTTTGAGATAAATAACAATCTCCTGTAAAGAAGAATATAAATGATCTGTATTAGCTGCCTCCTATTCAAGTCATACTCCTGGTAAAAGAGTCACCACATACTTCTAGCAGCCATTACACCTACATCCTACAGAATCATGCCTTGGTCTCTCAAGGTAAGAGGTTCACTATACCACCCCCACCCCTAAATTTTAAGCCAAACTTGGTTTCTACCTGTATACAGTTAACCCTCCAATAAATCTCAGAATATAAACTTGTAAAAAATATAGTACCTTAAGTGCCTGCAGTCTAGCTTGCTCCTCCTCCAATGCCTGCTGTTTTTCTTTCTCATCCATCTTCCTAAACAGCATTCCTGTACAGGCAAGTGTGGAAACAGCCCTGGATAGGGCAGTAGCTCTAAAAAAAGTAATGATTTAAAAAAAGTTTTATTAAGAAGCAGTCAGATATACATCACTGATAGTGCAATCATCAAGTGCCTTAGTCGTGTGTCACTCCCCCTCCATTCCAGTCTTTTCTGTAACAGAGTAAGGGAAGAAAAGCAGACACCCCAATAATGAAGTTTGGTGAAAAAGAAGTGTGAGTACGCAGGATTACTTCCTCAAGTTTCAGCAGGTAGGAACTGGAAAGTGCAAAACATACCAGCTGTCTTTTTTCTTTAAGATCACACAGATTAGATTGGGATTCTGTTCTATTCAAGTGACAGAGACACAGAAAGCTTGTTTGTACATATTACACATATAACAGTGAATAAAGCAAAGTTATCCCCTATAGAGTATAGTTTTTAGAAGAGTATTGTGCAGTAAATCCTCGGATACTTGCAAAACCACACAAAAAACCTGAGGAATAAGACAGCAACTCAGGAATGTAGCTTACACTGATACATTTATTAACATCTACCACGTTTCTGTGGGAGAATGCCTAAGCCAAAAGATCTCTCTGACTCTTCCATCAGAAGTACTTACTGTTCATACGTATTGATACTGTACTTGACAGAAAAAAAAACAACAAAGTTTCTGTCAGCACAAAGCATCTCAGCTAATTTGGCTGTTCTGAGAAGGGATCAAAGAACTTCTATGAGTAGGTTTTAAGATAATTTCAGTCTGAGAGGTGGACAACGGACAATGCAGATACATGCCATCCTATCCTGGGTAAAAAGAGCCTCAAAACCCAAATACCTTAGAAGGCTTATAAGCCAAAGGACTTGAAACAAGTAAAAGCTAAAAAGAATATTCTACAAAGTCTCAGCTCAGTGGTTTATTACAGCATAATACTCTGTCAGAGATACAGGCAGACATACCTAGATTTCAAATGTGACTAAGCTATCAGACTATTACTCACTAGATGCTTCACTTATACTTTTAGGAAGATATATTTGGAAATGAATAAAATTCGAGAACACCAAATGACTGAATCCTGAAAATTCTTAGCATGAAGATGACAAATCCCAAGTATGGGCAATCATTGTAATTCACTGGCTGCTCACCTGATGGCAGCGGAGACTTCTTTCGTTTTCTTTCCCTCTACAGAAGCCAAATGCTGTTCCAGTGCTTCAAGTAAGCTGCTTGGTGCCTAGTAAAAGTATTTATAAAATGAAAGTTAAAGTACTTATAAAACATTGCTTCTAGACAACACATCATTGTTTAGTACACAGATTAGTTTCCACATCCATTAAAACCAAACAAAAATCTCATACACCAGTAATTGTGCCATCCTGCACATCAGTTGTTCTTTAAAGGTTCTTCAAAAGGAGCAGCACAGAGACATGAAGCATATTCTATGCTTACTGTTTCTAAAACCTTCTAAACAACCCCTTCAACCATAAAACCTAAAGACAACCAACCAGTAACTTCTCTGAATTCTCTCATTGCTGCAGACATCCAACAACATCAGAGATGAAATTCTTCGTAGTTTTATGTCAGGGAAGATGTCTGGGCTAACCCAGATATTATGACTTGAAACAGGCTGTATTTTATGACTCAGCCCCCCTCTCCCCACCCAAAGACATCTGACAGACTGACATCCAGAGGAAAATGACCCAGTTATGTTCATGAAATACAATTACAGCTATAAAAGAGAAGTAAACAACATCCCTGTGAAACAGGGCACCTACAAAGGGAAACATTTTCTATATAGGAGCTGGCAAAAGTGGCAGTAGTGTCAACATCAGTATCAAGGAAGGAAAACAGTTATACAGCAGCAGTAATAATAAACCTCTAAAGAGATAAACCCATTGTTGTCAAGAGCCGTTTAAAGAAACTCTGAAACATGCATACCCCAGAACAGAATAATCACCAGAAGCATAAACAAAGTATTAGGAGATAGATTAAATATGGTAGACCAGAGTAGAATCAAAGACATGATCCTGCCAGAACATATTTCAGAAATGTAAGCACACAGAAAATCAAATTTCTGTGAAAGCCTGGTATTAAGAAATTTCAGCAACTTCTTTTAACATGGCACTAAATGGATGTACAATTATTCAACTCTTAATAAATGCCAAGAAATTTACTATAGAAGTGAACTGCTTAACAGTGGCACAGGAGTTGTGGAATACACAGGATGCTGACATGCACCACCACAGTTCAGAGCTGCCTTTCACATTTAAGTGCACTTACAAGAAAACAGCCGAACTATTAACTGAAAGAAAAAGTTGTCAGAACAGCAGCTATAAAGGGTTTATGCTCACTGAAAGTTTCGGATATAAAAAGCAGTAAAATGAAGTTTCAAGTAAAATGAGAGAAAAAAAATTGCTTTGAAGAGCCTTATAATGACCCAATTAACCAGACAAGTGCACACAAACCCAGTGAATTACCACTTCAGACTTGAATATGATTTGATTAGCGTAGTACAGACCAACTGAATACTGCAGTAATAGTCAAAGACTAAGATGCTGAGATCAAACACCAACAGAAAACATCAAACTACTGTTTTCATTCATTCTCTGCTCTTACACTGCTGGTGTCAGTCTTATTTCTTTCCTAGAACAAAGGCCTAGAAGTTCTTAAAGGTCTTAATATTAATTGCTAGGAGTAAGCACTAAAGATTTGTATTTAAAACATGTATTATTTCAGATGGAATGTTACTGCCAACTGGAACGTTGGCAACAACACTGACAATGGAAGCTTGTGGTTTCAATTTGACTTCCATATTAAAAAGACACTGGCAAAGTTTAGGCAAATCTTCACAGTAAATATATTTTTACACATGAAATTTAATTTTGTGAGGTGGTGCAGGATTAGATGTGACTGTTCAAAAGTTTACATGTTAGATTTTAACTGTTTCACACTGGCTCCACTTAAACAGCCTGCGTACTCTAAACCTCTAAGGCACTCCAGTTTATTGCCAGTCTCCTGACAGACTGCCATTTATTCTGCTCATCAGGTTACTCTGCACTGCAGAAAGAACACCAAATACCTCTGTCCTGTTGGGTTGGTCCTAGGTTAGAAATACAGTGTCCCTACGAACTGAAGGAACTTGCAAAAGAACCTGTTGGCTTAATCAATAAGATACATAAACTGACCTGAGTAAGATCTGGAATGTCTCCCTTATCAATTCCAACTTGCTGGGTTTACAACGAGAAAAAAAAAAAGAAAAGAAAAAAGAAATAAGTCCATTATTACATGCAGTGGCAATGAAAATAAAACTGGTGATGTCTGAATGTTACCTAGAAGCTAACATACTAAAAAGGGACATTAATAACTTTATGAAGTGGTATGAGTTTCACTGAAACTTAGCAATCACAAGTGCATTAAATTGCATTTCAAAGCAAATCCAACTTTTCATCCAGCCTAACTTTAACACAGAAAAGCTTACTGGCAGCATTAGAAACACCCGCATTGCTTACTGAAATTACATCTCCATTGTTAGCAGTTACAGTAAAGGAGAGCACTGTAAATAGACTGTAACATTCAGTTCATATATTCTGGACACTTTGTGCAATTTATAACAACACTACAGAAAATTTACTCCGTTGTCTGGCTAATAAAAAGGATACCCAAGAAACTCACTTCATGTTAATGAGTGCATACTATCTCTAAAATAGCTAATCTGTAAAATACTTTCTTGCATAGCAAAGTTCAGCAGGTATTACTCTGTATATGAAGTTCATTTTATGACTATAGACTACTGTACCAGTACAGACAGCAAAACAACACCCCTTCCATTGACACAGATTTATTTACCTCTGCTACTTTGAGGAATTCTGACAATTTGGTCATTCTGGCTAGAAATTTTTTGTAAATATCCAAGCCTTCTTTACACTGGTTCTTCTTCATATCAAAATATCTTTCTGAGGATGCAAATAAAATGTAAGATAACGCCCCCCAGCAAAAAGCCAAGACAATATTATAAAAGTAAATTTGAGACAAACTTCAGACAGGAGTAACTCAAGGCTATTTAGATTTTAAAGTTTACATGAAAACCTGACACCTTTTGTAATAAGTTAATCAAAAGAAAACACTGTTTTTTCTCTTTTGGAACACTAGAATATAACGCACAGCTTTTTTAAGCGCGAATGTGAACCACTGCAACTGTTAAATTAGGTATTTAGGGGGATGTTTTCAAGAAGTCAGCTTATTAGCTGGCAATGAGAAAAATTATTTTAGCAACTGAAAATATTCCTGGTACATATCTACATTTTTAGACCCTGTATCATTATATTGTGATGTTTGCAAATGGGCTCAATATCCAAAAGACATCAGAACCATTAGAGTGATTCAAACACTGAACTGACCTACCAAAAGAAGGATCAACCACATCCTTCACTTTTTATGGTTTTGCCCTATATAATGACAAATATTTCATTGAGTAAATGCACTAACAGAACAAACCAAGATGTTTTCATTCAAAAATTTGCTGAAGTAATCATTATAGGGACTTGCTAAGAGCTTATTGCTCCTGGACAAAAAAAATCATACATGTCATCTACTGGGCTCATGAGATTCAGGTACCAGGTAAAGGTGAATAGTCAAGCTATAAACTATGAGAAAACAGAAGTCAATCATATTGTGACTATACTGAACACTCAAAATACCAAGTATCTCACCAATACTTGTACAGCCCAAATGCAAAGGTTACCTACTGCACATATGGTATCTTTGTTCTAGTCTCACCCTTTCCTCTCAGCTTCTGTTTCATGATGTATTCTTCTAGGGAAGAAGCATATGTTTAAGCCTACGCTAGTTGCCACTGAAACTAGGACAGGCTTAATTCACTGGTAACGGAGCAGAGACAATTTATTATGAAACTGCAGTCAGAAACTGTCTGTATTCTTTAGTTCTCTTAGTATCTTACACAAAAGTTCAAAAGCTAAAAAAATTCTCACATACCTAAAAGATTAATAATCCCCTCATTGTATGCTGCAAAAAGTCTAATGGAATCTTTAAAGAGGAGCATAAAGGCAGCATTTATAACACCATTTGTTAGTTCATTTGGATTTGCCTGTGTAGAAAGTAATGAGAAAGTAAATTAGTATTTAATAAAATAATGAAGCTCACTTCAAAATGAGAGAGTTACTTAACACTGGGTTTAAAGTACTTACATCAAAATCAAGGAGTGCATCAAGCTGGTTCTGTATGATCGGAAGGGTTTTCAGAAGCTTTTCGGCATTCATGGTTCTCATCACTCCATCTATCCTACACAGCAGAAGACACATATTTACAAGTTACCAAGAGACCTCAGCGTATGATGCTGTTTCAACAACACTATACTGCTTCAAAGGGCCAAAAGGGACACAATTCTACAGTAAACTCAAGAACAACTGCCATTTCCCTCCCCCCCCCAATATGGAAGACCAAACAAAAGCAGCAGCAACAGTCTTACCCTCTTTTCATTTTGGTGAAGTCAACTGCTACAAGTCTATATGAAAGTGCTTTTTCGTTCAAGTATCTGCTATATCGCCTAATGAAGGTAGACATATCGTAGCCTGAAAATTAAGCATTTGCAAGTTAGACATTTTGAGGGGGTACAGGGATTTTTAAGCTCTTTTCAAAAACTATTCTTTTACAAGCCCATTTTTCATCAACTTGCATAAAGATCTCCTCAAAGGCACTTTCCAGAATCTTGAGATTCACTGTTTTTCACCTTGAGATGTGGTGGTACAGTTTCTTCCCAACTTGCTAGCATTAGAAAAATATTCATTGTGATTATGAAAATAAACACCTAAACAAATTAAACTATTAGGCAAGATCCAAGCATAAAATATTAGGCAAGAATCAAGCAGCTCCTACTGAGATATTCTTAAAATTAGTCTAAAAAGTGCCTTCCTACTAAAATGCTGAAGACTTTGGTAACTTATCTGCAACGCCCCAAAAAACACATAAAGACCCCAACATGTTTTCTACAACTGGCAAATAATTCTCAAGAGATCAGAAGGGGTTCTGCTTATACAGCACATCCTTGTCACCATTCTCCTAGAGTGCACCAACATAGAGCAAAAAAGCAGCAGTTACTTCCTTCAGTGAAAGGTCCTTACCCTGCATGGCACTTTTGTCCAGGTAGTTATTTAAATTGAACAAAGTGTTTCGGGATGCAAGATACTGGATAAAGCGCTGTTGGTGAAGAAGTTGAAAATATTATTGTTGTGAGAGTCAAAACATTTAAGCATATTACAAGAACGCTACACTTAGCTTGTAACTGTTTCTAGTAACCTCTATCACCAATAGAAATCAGTTAAAAGGGAAAAATTTAAAGGAAAAGTAGAAGCTACTGATTAGCAAAGGCTCTGAAATCCAAAAATCTATTTCAAAAATATAAAATTAAATAAAAAGACATCACTTCCCATGAATAAAAGATTAATAATCCTAGAGGAAGCTGCTTAGGTTAAATTTGTAATTTAGAATAGACAAGCTGGAAAACACAAACCAAAAATACCACTGGCTTTCTCCAAGCTCCCACAGTTCAGGGAGCTCTGCTGGTGCTGTGGAAGTGGGAAACATGCTCAGTTACAAAGTTTAAAAGTAGCAATATGCTTTTGGAACTGTGGTAAGCGGCAGCAACGCTGGGGTTATAGTTATATATATATATATATATATACACACATACACATTGTAATGCACTGATCTGACCAACAACAAAGTTTTGACAAATAGTAGTTGGCTCCATAAATAACACAAGAGGAAGAGGCAAACACATTCAGGTAGCAAGACAGTTTTAAAAGCTTCTCTGCCACTGTTGAACACAGATCTCCTGTGATAGCAATTTCTTGCCATTCTTGCTTCTTTGTATGTGTTTTAGTCCATAGAAGAGGATCATGACCGGTATGACTTAGTACTGCATTCACAGAGATGTATAAGAAAACCAGTTGTAACATGGTCAGGAATGGAATGGTGATGTTCAAAATGTGTCTATACAATTCCAAAATTAGCTACTGTTCTGAATCTCATTTTAAAAAGGTCCAGGGCTAAGCCTCACCCTCCAGATGTTGGGGGTCTTGCATTGCACAATGCACAGGTGAGAGGAATTTTAACCTGTTTCAGCCAAAACTTCATCATAAGAAACAGGTAGTCATGTTGAACAAGAAACTGCAAGACAGTAACTACTCAGACAACACTTTGACTTTCTGTTATATTTGCTTCTACTTAAAATAGAACTCCAACATCTGATAATTTTTCATCTGTATAAGAAAAAGGCCTTCTCTAATGTATTAGAGAAGCAAGAAGTCCACTCACATTCCACCTGAAATTACAGAACTAGTGTTCCAGCCACATTATCTCAGCAGGTATAAAGTAACTCTTCCAGTTTCAAATGCATCCATTCAAAGCAGAGGAGCAGACATGAAAATTTCTCTGCCACTACAAAATGCTGCACAGGCAAATAAGACACTGACTGCTAGCCCACAGCTCTTAAGCTTTTAATTTTTACTATGGTTCAGTTAGTTTGTTTGTTTTCTTGCAAGCTTTAGTGTGTAGATATGAACTGTATTGGAAAAAAGAGAAATATAGAAACTGACAGCATTCAGTTTAGCTTCATACTTATTCTAAGTAGTGAATTCCAAGCAGTCAATTTTACTTATCCTTGTATTATCCTCTAATTTCAGCCTATTATCTGTTGAAACTACAATTTAAGCACACAAATAACTCGGGGAAGCATTAACAAAGAGCACACTGTGTTTTACAAGTCATCTCAATGAAGTGAGAGGAGGCAACCGAGTTTTCAGAGCATTTTAGTGGCTGGAAGCAGTACCTTAAGAATCATCATTTCAATATTACCAGTAGTTGACAGTTATTTATTACGAGAATGCCTACACACAAGTGCAGGACTAAACTGTCACCTGACCAAGACAAAGTTGAGTTTCTAACAGAAATGACTGCCTAAGAGAGGCTACAGTTCTAATGCCATGGTATTGTCTGAGAAGCTTTTCATAAATAGTGATGAAATAATTAAAAGTGAAATAAAAGCAACAGAAACCTGTTTAGGAGAAATTTTTATAGTAACAACGTATGAAGATTTATCCCATTAGATGATGATTTCCAAGATCCAATCTTCTAGTCACCATATTCCTCCCCCCCTTTAGTAAGTATTCTTATCTATTAATAGGTTGGCTGCACATTTATGGAGTGCCAACAAGACTCTTCTGCTGTGCTCTTACTGATAAGCACGAGCCTAATGAAGTAAAGCTCATCATAAAGAGCTCATAAAGCTCTTTATTCTAGAAAGGTCACTCATCATTCCCTCATAGCCCATCCCAGATGCCGGCAGATATATTGCAAATATTGATACATTTCAGTATTGAAATAATGAAAGAGTATTCTTTTCTCTGGAGAAGTACTTTCCAGCCATCAGCAGAGGAAAAACAAAGACCATTGAAAATCAAAGTACACATCTAATGTTTCAAAGACTGAGAAAAAATTTTAACACACTACCAAGGAGGCTTTAAGAGAAGTAATCAAGTCTTACCTCATTTCCATACATCATGAGGTGGTGTGTTGTAATTAGAGCTTTGAACACTACAACCCAGCTACTGTTTGCAGTTCTCTCAAAGAGTGTATCTGCCAACTGAGGAATATTCACATTCATTTCATTTGTGCACTGTATTAGATCTAAATTAAAGGAAAAAAAAAAGAAATCAAAACATTACAATAAGCCGTATGCTCAAAGAGGATCCTTATTTTGTGTTTTTATACTGAGAATTCTTCTTGGATGCATTATAAGAAATAACTGAGCTATTTTACATTCCTACTCAAATTCACTGCATTTTATTGACAGACTCCAAGCATGAACTTCAAAGACATTTCAATTTTATGGGAGTCTCAGCATATCATCAATGAGTTGCTCCAGTAGAAACTCTGTGCCCAAATTATTGTCTGATACCCACTCAATCTTAGAAAAAAAAAAAACAAAACAGATAAAATAAACCCAAACAAACAAACAAAAACCCAACAATATACCCCCCCAACCAATCAACCACCAGGAAAAATGAGAGCAGCAAGGAGAAGCTGAGACATCTGTGCCTCATGAGATCAACAGGCAGCGAGGACCCTGCAGCTCCAACCTAAGCTTGCGTACCGACACACGATAGCAAATGAGATGCTACAAACCTGCAATAAGCCTCTTTTCTATAAGAATTAAGAGCAAGAGTTTGATTCTACAGATGCAAACCAAGTATTTTGTGGTGGACCATTGGAGGTCTCAGGCTTTTATATAAAAAACCCTCTTTGTGTCCAAGACTGATTATAAACTCAGTAGTAGAACATTAACCTGGGAAGTCAAGAATACTTCAAGTCTTTGCCTGAGTATTGGTACAAAACCAGAACAGGCTCCAGCAGATACCTGGGGAAAAAAAGGCCTGCTGAGAAGAAAGCAAAGAACCAAATCCAGGACTATTCTAAATCCCTCAAGACATGAACATTAGACATTTATTCTCTTTTGAGCTAAATTTGGCTCAGGTGTGATCAAAGTACACCTTAAGGACTGGGCAAGGCCAGAAAAGCAAACATTGAGTTTGAAAAGCTTCTTTTGTGGCCTCTTCTTTAAGCCAAGTCTGCAAGCAGCCTGTTGGCTGCAGAGCAGCATTGCTGTTCATGCGGTTTGTCTGTCTAAGTACTTGAAGAAGAGTAGATGCTTGGGAAGTTGGGCAACAACTGAATACTGGGGTGTTGGCCAACTTGTCGTATTAGCTCCACATACAGGACAGACTAAGTTATTATTAGCAATTTAAACATGAACTTAGAGATCACACATTGATAGTCTCGCACAAAATACTTCACAGAAAGACTGCAGTTAGAATTTCTATCTGTTTCACTGCACAAAAGAGATTACAAATGTATCTTACAGATCTGTTAAGAATATTAAATTCTTTGAGTAAGGCTCACTGTTTAGAACAACTTAATAACCAGAGTGATTTTGATAATGAGTTTTAGCTAGTATCTTGCTGAAGTAGAAAGCTATATAATGCCAGTTCTAGTAAGTTATTAATTTCATTCTGATGCCAAAGGTTTCAAAACACGTACAAAACATGACAGCTGGGCTGAAAACTTTCATCCTTATTAGTAACACACAAAATGCTGAAAGAAAGAGCAGCCCTGGAAATAAGTTTTAAGCTATCCATCAAAACTTTATTGTTGAGTAGTATTAAAACATTTCAGTATTTACAAACATGAAGAGTCTCAAAACCCATGTCATTTGATACAGGCTGCTCACAACTCACAGCTGTATCATCATCAGACACTGTGTCAAATTAAGAAGTACTTTAACATTTCTAGAAATCCAAACGGTCCATAGACAACCATTGCTCCATATAATGAAACAAGTCCCAGTTCCATAATTTATGCACAGAGATGACACGAACTTTAATTCAACAGCCTCATCTACTGAATGAGAACTTGTTTGGTATTTTTCAGGGAACTGAAGTGTCCGTAACCAGCACAGAAATGTTACAAGTCCTACACTAAGTTTATAAAAACTAAACAACCAACAAACTCTATATAGAGCAATACCTACAATATTACAATATCTGCAACAATGCCTATAACATTACTACTAGGGAGCAATTAAAGAAATTCCACTGATCTGCTAAGGTCAGAGACACACAGCCTATTGAAAATATTATTTCTGCACAAAGCCTTTTTCCTATACAGGACCACTGAGAAAGTCAATTTTTTCATTGAAGATTTTCAATATTAAGAGTGCTTACTGGGAGGGAAGATCCATATTAAAACCAAATGCTTCCTGGTCTCAAGTCAAATTAGCCAAGGTAACTTCATTCATATACTGCCAGTACTCTCCACAGAGATTTCAATCTTGTCACCTTCCCTCAAGCTAAGGTCTACCAGCAGCTGTTCCTGTAGAGTCCAAGATGATGCTGAACACCTGGGAGATCCCTTGCATATAGCTATGTCTACAACTTTCTCATAGTGCTGCTCAGACACAATGTGACAGAAATTATACTGTTAGCAACTACATCAAATGCCTCTGTCTCTCCTTAAGCCATACATTCGTAAAAAAAAAAAAAACTTTAGCTTTTCATGCCATCATAAAGGTTTACAACCATAAAAAGCCATCTAGATATCTGTCTACCTTTAGAGGGGAGCAACTGGCTTCTGCTTTGGTACACAAGACTGAAAGAAGTTTTCTGTCAAGTGACAGTAATAGAGTGTAAGTTGATAGACCTCAGGTGCATTTGAGAACTCACACGGTACTGCTTTATTCCACAAATGTACCTCCACATGATTTAGAAGTGCAGTTCTAGTAATTCCAATAAAGTGCTAGTAAGGGTTTTCAGCACATTCTACTTGTTCCTGTAAGATATGAGCCTGACCATTTTAAAAGGCAACCAAAATGAGATTTCACACAGTAGGGCTACTCAGAATTTAATTCAAGCTGTGTTTGAGGTTAGATAACTTGAATAAGCTGCAAGTGCCATGCACTTTAGACGTGAGCTGAACACTGGCTTCCCTGAAGACAATTTTTATTGAGGGCACTTAGCACAATTCAGGTCTTTGGTCCCCTTGAATGCACAAACTCATAAGCTACAGTTGCCAACACCAAAGAACACACGCTTAAACAAACAAAACATCTCTAAAATAGTAAACTAAGAATGAAAAAAAAACAAATCTCAGTGCATTTTATAGGCCAAAACTGGTGTTTCCCAAGAGTGAATTGCAAAATCTAAGTTTAAAAAGACTCTTTAATAAGGATATTCAGGGCAATTTTTTCCTTATTATTTTACAATTAGTATAAATAAAACTAGCATCACGTTTGAATTTCCAGCTCTTGAGATACATAACAGAAAAGGCAAGTGTTGTTTCTCTAATATGTTCTTCTGACTCTGCAATAGGAATATCTACATCAAACAAGCCTACACACAAACTATGGATCTGTTACAGCTGGTGACAAAGAGGAAAAGGCTATTACCACCATACATGGGGATATATAAAGGAACACATGCACCTAAGACTGATGAGCAACACTAATACGGATGTTGGCAACAAAAACTGGAATGAAATTTGTAGGGCAAGTGATGCTCATTTTCTTATCACACTACTTATATCAACACTTTACAACTCAAAGCATTTTGCCAATTACCCAGAGGAATCATTTCAACTGCAAGCGAAACTGTGGTGCTATTTCTAGAATGGAATTCAGAAACATTTTAACATCACCGGGAAGGAGCGGGGGGGGGGGCAGAGAAAGAAAAATCAAACTGCTTTAAACCAGAAGAGTACCACAGGGGTCTTCAAGCAGCCTGGAAGAGATGTGGAAATCTTACTGCCAGAAGAATACTAAGTATTTCTCTTCCACAGCTCATCAAATATTGGCACAATCATCTGTGAAACCATACAGCTCTTTGGAAAACAGAATGCACAAACCAGCTATTTAAAATATATATATATTTATATATCAGGTTTTTGGAAAATTCTCAGCCAGGCACTGACAAAAAGAGAGACACACTTGTCAACTTTCAAGTACCAAGAAAGTAATCCTTTTCTTGAGTCAGGAATATCTGTCTCAAGACAGCTGCAAATACATGAGTTAAAGACAACCATAGTTGTTTAATATTCCTGTATTTGTTTCATTTTCTCACAGGACTGAAACTGCTCTAGAGAAATAGAAGAATTAAGACCACTTGCCTTAATCCCAACAGTTTTGGAAAAAAATACTGTATTTTGTTTTTGAAAGTTACACCATAAACTATAAGTTTACAGAAACATAAAAGAGAAGATCTTCAGCAGACTTTCTCAGCATAGCCTAAGGAATGCAACAGTTCTTGCTGGAAGACTTAAAAGAGCACCTGGCACAAATATTTTTATGCACCCTTATAGAGCAGATTTGCCAACAAACTTTAAGTTTCATTTATATAATAGCTAAATCTGAACTTAGAGTTACTTTACCAGAAGCAAAGCAATTCAGCTACTCTGTCGCACTCCCCCACTAAACAGGGATAAATGACAGCCCATAGTTTGTTGTTTTTTTTTAAAGCTTAGAGCAATTGTTGAGTAAAATTCACATTTATAGATGCAAACAACTATGTTGTTGTTGTTGTTTTTCAAGTTGAATTTCCTCAATTACTTCACAGATTACTAAAGAGTTTCAAACTAAAGAAAGGCACCTTACTCCTTGTGAAAGAGTTCAGGGGTATTTCTTGGTACTGTATCACAACTTAAGTATCCCTTGCAAGAGCCATATTGCATCAGCATTCATGAGCTCTAGCTACCAAAAGTAAGAATAGGCAGATACAAAACCAACCCCAAAGTGTGAGACTCATAATGTGGTATTATTGGCAAAAGTTTAGAATGATTTGGTGAAGACCTATGCAACTTTCTCCTGCTGCATAATACAATTCTACAGTACCTGAATTATCACTTCTTACAAGATTTCCAAAGCCCGTGTAAAAGTCTTAAGCTTTGATGAGTAACATTAACTGCTTTCTCCTCCCCTGCGCTTAAGAGGGCCATATGCAAGTTAAACAGGAGTTGCTTTTTCCTTTATTACTATATTCACTTAATTTAGGGGATTGTATCTTTCCAAATTTTGGCCTACACACAGGTCTACTCAGCCAGTTACCAACTTGTCTGCAGCTCTAGTTTGTTCCCTTTTTTATTATGGCTTTTCAGTAGTTAGCCAGGAAGAGATATGTCACCAAAGGCATAATCTAGCCCCACTCTACTGCAACCCAAAGTCAGAAGGAGGGGAAGCGAGGAAACCCACACTGGGGAAAAAGAGACAAAGACCTTCAGGTGCTTCACTAAGAAAATACCAGCCTCTGTATAATACTTTATGTTTACATTACAAAATATTACAGAAATAGATCTGATGATTTATTTAGGCCACTGTGACCTACTTTAAAAGAAAAAAAAAAAAGAACCCACCAAGTATTCCCATTGACATTGCTTAGGTTTGAAGTTTGGATTTGTTTTTTTGTGTGGGTTTGTTGTTTTTGTTGTTTTGGGTTTTTTGTTTTTTTTCTTTTCAAGGATAATAAGACTATACTGCTCAGCAGTTAGTAGCCAGACAAAACCCAAGACTCCTAAATACTAGTTCAAACACTGCAAGTGTAACATCTTCCTGTAAAACCCCATAATGTAATATAGTGCTTCTTGCTGAGGAAACAGCAAGGGGGTGCGTGTGTGTGTGTGTGTGTTAAGAATTAATCTGAATAGAGTGCACAAACTGATACTCCTCCACAATCCCTGACACAACTACAGCAACTCTCAAAAACATCTTCTTGAAGCTTTTTCTTTAGCAGCAATTACAAGTCATACCAGATGGTGTAGCATTTTTGCATGCCACACACACGTAGCACCAAGGTGCAACTAGCAGTGAATTGCATTAAATCTGCGCTATGTTTTCCTTCATAATTTACTCACACTGTACCTTTGAAAATACACTGTGTGATCTCTTTTCCCCAGAGATTACATTATTTAAACTAGTATTTTACCTACCTGTGTTTAATGCAAGTAAGTTTTGTGTACTAGGGATAAAGTGCCACACAAAGGCTTGCAGATGTTTGAACAGCAGTGCCTGGGTATGCCCAGTGAATAGTGTAGAACGTGCACTGGGATTTCTTTTCAACCCCTTGCAGAGATATTTGCAGTACCATAGTTCACCTTTTTTTTCCCCCCTCCTACCCCACCAAAGTATTCCTCTATTTCAGACACCAAATCAGAACAAGCTTTTTGTTTGTCTTAGATCAAAGTCTGAGGAAGTCAATTACATCAGAACACAGAGCTTCTCTGCCACAGAAGGGCACCCTCTGGAGACTGACAGCTCAGGACAGGTTTGTATCAAAGATATCCAAAGGAATTTGATAGCCAAACGCAATCTCAGTTTATGCCCTTCTCAAGAGTTTTTCCAGGCTTCAATTTTCTTATTTTGTGAGGGTAACTTACAGTAGATGTCATGATTTTAAGGATCTTTTCAACCAATGCACTACATCTTTCAAGCTTCAGAAGCTTTCAAACTATTGAGCAAACTCACCACTTTCTGGCTTCCTGTTATGTTACCATTTCTGGACTCAAGGGTTACCTCCTGCAGTTATTCTACCACAGGCAGAACACAAGGAGAGATAAAGTAACGTAACTTTAAAAAGGTGGTTTTAAAAAAATAAACTGACAGTTACACAGATTTAAGGCTTTTAACACAGCAGCTGCAATATTCACTGCTGTAGCTGGATTCCACTCATTCAGATCAAAACCAAATGAGACACGTATTTGTTTGTGTTTAACTATTTGATCCACACCAAAAGCTCTCACACAACAAGTCTGTCTTAACAGAAGAATGTCACAGTGTCAGAGCACCAAACTACCCTCAAAAAATACAACTGATTATATGTCTTCCAAGGGCTGGAACAGCAGAGTCCCCTTAGCACCACCAACTTGTGCAAGTCCTGAAAAACTACCAGCCTGCTCCACTGATTTTGAAGAACCCAGCATAAAGCTTCATATCTTCTTTCCCCAGTGGAAACACACACACGCTTACTTCACTTCTAATAGTACTGCATAATGTAGAAGGTTTGGAGCACTGGCTGCACTTTTGAGCAGTTAAACAGTAACTTCTATTGCTATCCTGTTACTAAAACGTGAAACAAAGCAACACCACCGATAACTTTCTAGTGATCACGCGTTCTAGTTACTATTTTTCTGCCTCTTTTGGTGTGCAGAAAGGTGTTTTAACGTATTAAGTTTAAATATAACAGTGACAACATACTCTCATTCTGGAAAGGTGCACTGGCCCACCTTTACCCTCCCCTTTACCTCACTTTTTACCTCTTTTCAAGAGCCGTAAGATAAAAAACTATGGTATTTAGAGAAACATTGCAGTCTGCAGTCCGCCACATGCACAGAACGACAGAAGAGTGCTTAAAAATGTAACTTCTCGCTTACAACAGTAAACCCACACAACTTAACCCACTTTTTGCCCCGGTGCCGGATTAATAAACCCAGAGCACACAGGCTAAGAAGCAATCACCGGGAAGAGTTCACAAGGTTGCACTAATTTTGTTCCCTGGTGTTACAAAGCTCGCTCCCTCCACGTGTAAAGCAACCTCTGAAGAGCAAACCAGCCGGGTTCACCCGGCCTTACGCCACATTCCCTCCTCCCTGCTACAAGCAGGAGGGGCCGCACCGACTGCCTCGGGGCTCCAAGCGGCTCCCGCCGGGCGAACCGCGGGCCCGGCCAGGCCTCCCCCGGCCCAGGCCGCAGGCGGCCACCGCAGGGTCCTACTTACAGTCCAGGTGCTTCTTCTTGGGGCCCATCACCTCGTGGGTCGTCGCCTTGCAGACAGCCTTGGCCACGGCCGAGCCGGTGACACTGTGCTGCGCCGCCGTGATGCGGTCCGTGATCGACTGCCCCGACATCATCGGCGCGGACCCGCCGCGGCGGGCAGCAAGGCCGGGACAGCGGCTCCCCCGTAGCCGGGGAGAGGAGAGGCGAGCGCAGCCGCCCGGGGGACGGGAACCGGCAGCTCCCTCCGATGTGAGGCCGGCGACCGGGGAGTCCTGGCCGGGCACCGCCTCACCGGCTCCTCTGACCCGCCGCTGACGGCTAACGAGGGCTCTACCCGCACAACCCGCACTGCCTCCCCGACGCAGCGGCGCCCCTTACTCCCGCCGCCGGCCCGGCCTGCCCGGCCCTGCTCGTCCCGCGGGCTGCGCCCCGGCTTTCCCTTTCACATTCACACTACCAGACAAAATGGCGGCGGCCGCGGTGGCGGCGGCGGCGTCAGGTGACCGGCGCGCCCGCCCCACGCCCCGCCCCGCGTGCCCGCCCCGCTCCCGTCGCTGCCCCCTCACACACCCCTCCCCCCCCGGGCCGGGAAACCGCGCGGTGCCGCCGCGTGCCCGTGGGGCTCCTCCGTCGCGGGTGACGTCAGAGGGCGGTTGGCGGGGCGAGAGCTGCGGGCTGGACCGAGTCGTTCCGATCCCCGTCCGACCCGGGCAGTGCCGGGGATGGGGCAGCCACGGCTCCTATGGACAACCTCCATCCTAACGGCAACCTCCATCCTCACGGCAACCTTCATCCTAACGGCAACCTTCATCCTAATGGCCACCTTCATCCTAATGACAACCTCCATCCTAACGGCAACCTCCATCCTAATGGCAATCCCCATCCTAATGGCAACCTCCATCCTAATGGCCACCTTCATCCTAATGGCAACCTCCATCCTAATGGCAACCTCCATCCTAACGGCAACCTCCACCCTAATGGCAACCTTCATACTAACGGCAACCTTCATCCTAATGGCAACCTCCATCCTAATGGCAACCTCCATCCTAACGGCAACCCCCATCCTAATGGCAACCTTCATCCTAACGGCAACCTCCATCCTAATGGCAACCTCCATCCTAATGACAACCTCCATCCTAATGGCAACCTCCATCCTAATGGCTCATCTCAGCCTCCCCTCTGTCAGGTTCCTCTTGTCCTGTCCTTACAGATCCTTGTCCAAAACCCCTCTCCAGCTTTCTCGTTGGCCCATTTAGGCACTGCAGCTACTCTAAGGTCTCCCCAGAGCCTTCTCTTCTCCAGCTGAACAAGCCCAGCTCTCTCAGCCTGTCATAGGTTGATCTAACAGGGCTCACTGTCAGGTTGATGGGATGGGTTTTCTCATGGAGCAGTGACATTGGTGTCTGCAGGCGGGCAGAGGCGCAGAAGGGCCTCACAGTACCGCTGCATGCTGTAGGAAAACTCCCCCTCTTGCAGGTTGCAGAGACAGAATAAAAGCTCCTTGGAAAACTTTTCTCTTGCAGACTTCATCCGCAGAAGTAGCATCAGTAAAAAGAAAAAGCCTGGCCTCCCTTGCTGAGCCTGTTGCGTGTGCTGCTGATGAAACTGAACCTGCTCCAGAAGACAAATGCAATAATGAATGCCCTCCCCTCCTTTTTCCTCTCAGCTTCATTGCTGAGCAGACAGCACACAGTCTGGAATACCCCCTTGGTCAGCTGCGCCCAGCGGTCCTGGCTCTGCCCCCTCCTAAGATCTTGCCCCCCCCCCCCCAGCCTCCTGGTGTAATGTTGGAGAGGCAGCCTTGGTGGAACATTGCTCAGCAGTAGCCAAAACACTGGTGTGTTATCAGCACCCTTCTAGCTGCCAACATAGAGCACAGCACTATGGGGGCTGCTGCGGGTAAAACTTAACACCATCCCAGACAGACCTGATACAGGTTTAAACAGAACAAGGAAGGCAAGCAGGGATGGCTCTCAAGTGGAGCTGTCTATCTCCCAGTACTGTTGAAAAGCATGATGACACTACAGATATTAGCAGTCCTATGATCCGGGGTGGGTAACGTTGTGAATGAAGGATTTCTACAACCCTAAGGGCATAAATGCATTACAACATGGTCACTGCTATTAAAACATTGAACATTTCCTGTGCTGGAAGAAGTTACAAACTCTTCAGTCTGACTGGCAGCAGGCAATTTCTAGCTGCCTTTATTTTTGCCTTAAGACTTGTAGTTTCTGGGGGAAAAAAGTCTTGAATCTTCAAAACCTGAGGAAACATCAAAACAGTAAGAAAAAATAGACGGAAAGATTAAATACGCATTATAAATGTCTACATCTCTTGGGGCTTGTCTAAACAGGGAAGCTATTTCGCAATACATGAGGGTGTGAGCTGAAGCGCAGCAGCTATTTTGTGCTACCTCCACCCCCAGCAGGGACTCTCTTATTCTATTCTGTTTCAGAAAGCCTAAATTTTGCAGAAAAGTGCCAGAGTTGAGTGTTTCCCATTACTGTGGCTCTGTCTTTACTCTATGTGCTAGTCAGGCCCAAATATGAGTTCTAATGTCCCTCTTCAGTCAGTGCATTGGCTTGCTCCAGGTTGTATCCAGCATGGATGCTGCACATCGTACCCCTCAGCACTGATGTCTGCCCAGCACAACAAACTGAGCACAGTCTGTACAGCCTGAGAGCTCATCAGTCAGAAACACAAGTCAGTTTTTCACTGGTGTTCAGACCATCTCCTCGGAGTGCTTTATAAATGTGCCTTCTTTAGGTTTAATTCGTTAATTACAGAGTGCCTGTGTAATTCCTATTCCGTACAACAAATTATGCCATGATGGAATACTTGAAAGAATTATTCCAAATCATAAAATGTACCATAGGTGCATTTCCATGGTCACAGAAGCATATGAAAATGTATTTTGGGATGGACCTCTGGAGGTCACCCGGTACAGCTGGACCTCAAAGCAGGGCTAGTCTTGAGGGGGGAGTGGGCTGCTCAGGTCCTTGTTCAGAATAGCGCTGGAGATCATTAAGAAGATTCCCCTCTTTAGGCAACCTCTGCGGTCATATACAATGTCAATCTCGTATTGTAGTGTTGGACTTGGCAGTGTTGGGTTAAGGGTTATGACTGTTATGATCTTAAAGGTCTCTTCCAATCTAAATGATTCTATGATTCTGTGTCTGCATCTTCAAGACTTATGCAGGTATGAGACTATTGAGACATCTGACGCCTGATGAATCCATTAGTGAAGGAAAAGGAGTTCTTGCCAGTAGAGAGAGGGGGAAATCAGTGACAAGCCAATTTGGGCCATCATCTATCCACCTTAAGGGGCACATCTACATTTCTGATGCAATGCGGAACTTTATTTTGTTAGTAAGAGTGTGTCTGGGTGAAATTCTACACCTTTTAAATCAGATAAGGACAAAGAAGTAGAAGCTACCACCCCTTAGGGTGGAGTGGCAAGGTGCATTCATCATATCAATTAAGGATGTCTTTATGGAGGGGTTGTGCCATGACACCATGAAAGATGAACAATTAGCTAAGCAAATTGTTGCATAGAAATTTAATTGAGAGGTACATAAATAGCTCCTAGGGAGTGATGGAGTGATACCTTACCCACCTCCCAGCTCCCCAGAGCCAAATTGGTCCTGAGGAGATAAGGAAGTGTTGATGCTTTTAGGGCTGAGGTTGAGCTGAGGTTTCATGTCTTTCTTCAGGAGCCATGCAAGACCGGTCCACTGGTCACTGCCTCTGTGGCTCTGTCAGGCCACAGCCAGAGTGACAGCACATCTTACACCAGGTAGCTGGCTGTGCTTGTGTTCACACCACATTGGTACCTCTTCATAATACTCCTTACCCATCTCTCTCCCACCTTCCCCCCTTTCATATGAAAGCAGTATATTATACAATGTCATTTAGGTTGCTCCACTAGCAAGTCTTGCTCTTTGCCACTCTCTTGCACCTATGGACTTTGGTTCGTATTTGTAAGGATAAAAACCTGGAAATGGTATGTACAATTTATGTCTCACTCGTCTTGCCCTGTGTTTACCGTAGGGTGAGTGATGAGGGCTTCAGAAAGGAGACAGGAAACATAGTGCTGGCATGGATGCATAAAAATAGTGCTGGGGAGCTGGTGGAGGGAATGGGATGTTTCTGGGCTTCTGCCATGACTGAATGACACAGATGGTTTTCCAGGGAATGAGTATTTTCGTAATGAGTAGTGAGTGTGCTTTGGGCTGGCTGCACCTACAGCCCCAGGAATGCAAACAGTTTAGCAGCAGGTTTGTCAATAAATGCCATCTGCTCAACAGCACTGAACCCAAAACACTGCAGAACCTACCTTACCGGTGGCTGCTGCTTTGCCAGGTACAGGTGAGAGAAAAATCACTGCTGAATTAATTTTTGTAAGTACAGTGATGGTGATCTAAAAATGACAAACATCTATATTTAGTCAAGTCTTGTTCAATCCCAGCTTAAACCTGGGAGAATTAAACTGCTGTCATTGAAATGAGACGTGAGCATCATTTAAAAAAACCTAAAACCAGAATGGGTTTCAATGCTAGTTGGCTAATTCTTACCTGAGCAGAGACATGAGAGAAAAAACCCCACGCACTGTTGACCAGCTTGGATTTATGGGTAGCCATTCTGCCAGTCTCTTAATGATCGTCATTTCCCTCTTTCTGAGTTGTGAAATGCTGATAAGAAGTTTAGCTCCAGAACTAGGACTCTCCAGAGCTAAATTCATCCAAACCTTGCATAACTGCAAAATAGGAGACGATCAGATCATGAGTCTGTCATTGGAGACTGCCTGGCTGAAACTCAGACTTGGCGTGCGTCTGAGTTGGCATTTTAGTGCAGGATCAGAGAGCATTCCAGAGAGGGAATAATTAAAGAGGAAAATGTAGTGTAAAAATAAAGAAACAAGAAAAAAAAGAGAGGATGCGAAGGAAGATGAGTGCTGAGGAGTGGAGTTCATGGCATGTGTTCTGTGTGGATGGACAGAAATGACCTATAGAGAGGAGGCATGGAAGAGATGGGGGGAAAAGTTATGCTGCTGCTGAAGTTTGAACTTGTAAATTGCTGATTGTATAGCGAGGGGGGAAAGAAAGAGGAAAAGAAAGAAGGGGAAGGAAAAAACAATCTGGCTTTATGCTGCAGTTGCAAAAGTGCTGGGAGGCAGAAGGGCACGAGGCCATGGCTCCTGCAGCAAGCAGCTGAGCTCCCATTCCTGCCCGCACACTAATCACGTTCCCTGCGGGTGTATTCAGGTGTATTGCTGTCAATAATGACGCACTCAAGAGGATTTCTGTGTTATTTCTGCAGTACTTCCCTGTAGCAGTGTTCTTCCCTGTAGCACCTTTCTGCTCGGTGAAGCTGTTTTTTTTCAAAACAAACTAAATACTACAGTATGAAGTGATAGGTGTGTTATAATTCCTTTAACCTGTTCCAGTCTGGGCGGTTACTTTATGAGTAGGTTTATG